CGGCCGCCCGCGAGGGAAGCCCGGTCCTGGGCGGGCCTCGCGCTGGGGCGCTAAGCCGCGTTCTCCCTTCCAGCTGTGGCTCGACAGCTGCGGGGCTCCCGCCTCGTCACCTCCACCCAAGGAAGAAGATTTCTTTGCCGCGCATGCGTCTCCTGAGGTGTGTATGATGCGTGGTGAGTCCGCACTGCGGCCACGTAAGGGAGACGGGTGAAATCCCACGGGCAGTGGGTTTCTAAATGCCCCTCGGGCGTCTCCCGGCGCGCCACGAGGGGGGGTGCGGAAGGCAGGCGAGCAGTGCCAGCTGCTGACCCCGCAGCTCTCGAAGGTCGCCGCTGGTGGAGCAAAGTCAGAGTGACGGTATCAGCCGAAGCACAGAAAACCCGGAGTCCGGCCGGTGTGAAGAGACGCGCGCGTCCGTGGCTCGGAGGGGAGCACCGAGCAGGCGCCTGAGTGGGCGCACTAGAGCCTGGAGGGGCCCCGGCAGCTCCCGGGGAGGGGCGGGCGCCACCGCGTGGCCCAGCGGTCACGCAGCGCCCCAGGCTTCCGGCCGCCGAGCGGGCAGCTCCCCTCCCACGCCACGTCTCTGCGAGTCAGCACAGCCCCCACGGAGGGACACGCTGCTCGGCGCCCTCCCGAGGAGTCAGCGCCCCAGAGGGCAGGGTCTGGGGGGCTGTCACAAACCAGGGGGTCCTGGGGCTGGGACAAGGACGGGGGCCCGCTGCGCCCAGCACCGCGAGGGGACGCCGGCTGGCCGCGGGGCGGTTCTGGCCTTCAGCTCATGGCGTTGTACCAGGGCAGGCTTAGTTTGGAAAGAAGTGTCACTTCGGGGGTACTGGGCGCTAGTTTTTTAAAGATTTTATTTAGTTATGCGTAAAGAGCTGGGGTGCAGGCCAGAGATGGGGGGAACGAGAGGCTTCACCAGAGACAGTGGGGAGCAGAACAGCGGGCTGACTGAAACACACTGCTGCGGGGGGCAGCGAGGAGGCAGGAGGGGTCTGCCGTCCCCTGGGGCCCCCCGCCCCCGCCGAGTCCCACTCCGGCGGCGGTGACAGCGATGGCCGCACCCCCCGGGGCGGCTCGCTTAGCAGAAGCTGGGGAACACGTGCGAGGGAGCCCCGGACTCTCCGTGCCGCTCCGTGAAGCTGTGGCGTTGTTGTGAAAGCGCTTTTTTGAAGGAGGGAGACAGAGACACGGGGCATAGAGGACCAGGCGAGGAGATCGTAAGAATAATGAACAGCCACATACCAGAGACATTTTGTGGGGGGGGAGTGGGGGGGAGGGAAGTGCACAGGACTACGGTGATGGGAAACCCGCAGGGATTACAACTGAGATGAAAAAAAAATGTACAAAATGATGTAAAAATAAACTATCATAAGAAAAGAAAAAGAAACGGGCACAGAAAGCCTCGCGAACACGGGTGTCTGCCCGCGGCCGCCTCCCACTGGCCGCCACGGCGCGAGCGGGTGTCAGGCTTCCCCATGCGCCTCTCACCGCCTTCTGCCCTCGCAGGGGAGCCGCGCAGGCTGGGACGCGGCGCGGA